GAGTCGATGAATCGATCAAAGAATACCGCCACTCCTTTTGTGAAGAGACTCAAAGCTCAAACTCTGCCACGAGGTCACTGTCTGACGCCTCTGCCTACGCGGCCCTACTGAATTAAACGGTAATAGAAATTGATTGAGTAAAACGAAAGGTCTTACATCTGAGGCACCTTCTCTTGATCCCTCAACATGATGCTGCTTGACTTTAGAACATAGTTACTAGGACATTCAACCATTATCCAAATTGAAGAAAAAAATTTCATGAACTGCCTTGATGTTAAGCATTGCATGCCTTCATTACAGTCATCCAGTCCCAATACCATTTATCTTTTTAGGTCGTAAAAGCAGACGCGCAAGACAGTGTCTCGAACGTTCATAATTGTGCGTCAACGAAGAACATGACTCGAATTTGAAATAGAGTACTTCGAGAGACTTGCCTCAGGCAATTCTTGGCCACCCCGGGGTCTTCAGGCGCTAGTGGCTGTTGTTGTTACAATAATACGCTAGTAATGATTTCTCCTTCCTTTTTAGAAGTATTCGTAGTACGTACCCAAACAGCGGTTATGCACGAAGGCAATTTTGAGACGCATGAGTCCAGCGATTCATCTCAGAACGAACATTTCAGTAGCTTGTACGGAGGATCAAAGTTCTTCAGTCATGGAGCCCAAATCACAGCTATAGATGAGTACAGGGATAAAAGTCGATTTGAGAGGAGACTGCTTATTCCTCAGACTCGGCTCTGCTTTAGTCACAGTGGTTCAAGCCGTGACGCTGGCCATGCCAATGTAACGGTCGACCTCTTCCTTCCATCACCAGTAAACACGAGCCCACAGTTTAGCAGGTAGGAGAAGGAGAAAGTGCTAGGTTTTTGGTTTTAGACGTGTTTCCACGCACACCGGTCACGTCACACTCACCTCTTGGCTTCGAACCTTTACACACAGTGCTGGAGACCTTCTTCAGGAAAGGCCAACGTGACAAGGTCGTCTGCCAACTGGAAAACTCTCGTCTCCACATCTCCTACGTTGAAACACTCGCCGTTCTGGCTGTACCAGAAAATTCTCTTC